GTACCTTGGCGAATGCTCTAGCATTTACTAGATATAGGGTAGCCTGGTATATAAAGGAGGGTGACAACGTGACGGACGATAATATGTGTGTGTAGACAGTGAGTAATTGATCTGCAGTCAGAGAGTATTATTGAGCACGTTCGTTGTTATAGCGTTTGTTTTAGCGTGATTGTTGAAATTAAGTGTATCGTAAAGTTATATTCGGAAAGAATAAACCAGTTTTATTAAGTAAGGACTTGTGTCGCTAAAGTTTCGTCAGAACGAAGTTACGGAAAATCAATTAACAAACGGAGACGTAACAATATTATTATTTTTTTTTTAGCTTTTCCGTCGAAACCTACTGTATCTGAGTGACTGACCTGTGTCTTTTTTTAGTCCGTAACAAGAACGCACTAGCCATGTCCACCTGACAAGGTTTATCCTTGGACTACCGCCGAGTCCATAAAATTATCACTGGTTTTAACGTACTATTTGCTTTCTGTTATTTTAGATGTGTTATGCCTATAAGTTGATTTTATGTGCATTTTGCGTGTGTGTATATTTATTTATTTATTTACTTAGAACCACAGGAAAAAAAAAAGAAAGGAGATTGAATTTTACTAATTAACTAGAACAGGAGATAATATTGATAATTTTACCTTTTACAAAAATACACGAAATCATAAGACTCGCGCTCTAAGGCGAATCGTATTGAAGTTAGGGTTACCACAAATCAAAATCCACCATTTGTCACTTTCCTTCACTACATCGGAATCGTAGATGTCGCTTTTCAGAATAAAGATATTTGTGACGTATCTTCTTCAAGATACCTTGTTATCTATCAACTGAGTTGTGAAAATGTTCAGTTATGTTTACGTTTAGTCAGATGCCAAAAGGTCGCTATGGCTACGGATGAACCCTTCGCGCCTACTTTATAAATGGTGGTATTATGAAAGCGAAGGGGAGGGAAGTTAGTTCATTAGCTAATGCCCGAGTCTGAATATTTAACTAACTTCTCCGTTGTTGAAATTGACACGTTTCATATGTCATAATTTTACGTTTGTTTTTATTTTTAATCTGTGTTTGTTTGTTTTTTTTCAACGAAGGTAAAGTGAGAGTTTAATTCCTGTTAATATTTTTAACCATTAGAAGATAATCCATAATATTTTTAAGATAATGTGTTAATTTACTAAACTATTAGGAATATTCCCGGAGGGATTGAACTATAATATTCCCGACGGGATTGGAGTGTAATGAAATGTCTAGTCTCTCGTTTTAAGGATCTCTAGTGAAGGACAAGACACTACTTTGTTTACCTACCTAGATTCGTCCGTTCAACAGCTGTTGTCAGTTTTCAATATGTTCATGAATGTGTTTCAAATGAATCTGTCCCTACGAAAAGATTTTGATTAATGTAAAACAAACAATGAGGTTTAAGTAATACTGACTAGCTGCTTTGGAAAGCTTTCAGTGAGAACTTTTTGTCATCTCCGTTTAAAATGTTTGTCATTTTTACGCCAAAGTCTTTTTCGTGTGTATAAATTTTTAATAAAGTATCCCTTTCGTACCTCTGTAGACTTTGCCACAATGGCAACAATCCAGTGTGTCTGAACATAATTCAAATCGTTGTTGGTTTGTTTGGAACTACTGTACTTAACTAAATAATCAAAGTATTGTTAAAAACCGCCAGTCAGAGATTAGTGGAACATAAAACTTGTAGTTTTTGTCAGTGTTTTCCTTAGTTTGACTGAACTAACCCAAAACAGATGTATTAAAAAAAAAAAACCAAAGTCTCCGTTCTCTAAATACAACACAAAGTTGTTTTACTTGATAATTTTACTGTAAAAAGATAAAACTCTGTGAGACCGGGAACATTCTCAGACATTCCACACGTTTCGACGTCTTACTGCGTCGTCATTATGAGTGCAAGGGTTAAGACTTGTAAACAATTTCAAAAATCACATGATCAAACTTGCATACATACAGTTCAGCTTAAAAAAAACAACCGCGCCATCTATTAACAACATTTCCCTCTGCTCCTTCATCTTTATTTAATTCCTTAAAATTATTTTTTTTAAATATATGATTATCTCAACAGCCTCACAGATATTATTACCACCGATATTTGTAGGTTGTGCTAAAATAAGTTTATCCCCCCCTCATTTAGTCAAATGTTTAGTTCGTTCAGCTAGAAAAAAATATCTTTGTATTACCATTTCTAACATTTCTTTTGTATTTAACATTTTTTTCCAGTTTATACTGTGTAATTCCCGTATTCACATGTTATTTTGTGTTCATCAGTTTTTTTTATTAAATCAGTGTTATCTTTAGTTATATTAGGAATCTGGCTAACATTCTTCACAGGAAAATTTGATCATGTGAGCTTTGAAACTGTATATCTATATACTACTAAAACTCTGAGATTGTTTGCTTGTCTGTAATT